TCTGGAATGATATCCTACGCTGGGCTGACCGGAACCGCACTCCGTGCTACAACGGCCTGCTGGCGGCACTGGATCTGCACAATCGCCCGCAGGCCCAACAGGAGTTATTGCTAGTGGTCAAGCTCGATTATTCGCCGTGTGCACAGCATTTCAATGACAGATTCCTCACGACGAAGGTCTTGGTCACGAGTTGGCAGAAAGTGAAGGAGACCAAGGTTGCGTGGATAAGGCAACACCTCGCCAAGATCGCTGCCAGCCGTGCGTGCCTGGAGGAAGAAGTTATGTCGCTACCCCAATTGGTCGTGTATGGAGTCGGGGCGGTCGTGCTCATCGCCGACTTCAGCGATCAGACGGCGTGGGAAGGCAGCACGGTGATCCTCGAGCTTCCGTATCGGATCCAAAATCTCGACTTATTGGCAAGACCTGTGTTCAGCCAGGCTGGCTGGCAACACGAACTGATGGGAGAATTAAACAAATCGGGTCTAAAGCCTATTTATGCAAGTCTAATCGGCGCAGACGTCTTCACCGGAGCAAGGCAATACCCGCCGCGTCGGGTGCGTGCATTCGCAATGCACCTGCGCGCCCTCTGCTCGACCCGCGTGACGAACAGTGAGGGCGTGCGGCACTCCGCGAGCATTTCCTTTCTGGTCGCATCCGCCTTCGGCTGACCGATCAGGAGGATTTGCTTATAACCTGGCGGACTGGTCAGGGGCGGGAGAGCGCACTCTCCCACTCCCCTCTAGTTTCCCGCCAGGTATGTTTCACAGTCAGTAGCGAGTGGTTTCGCGCGCTGACTCTAGTTTCCCGCCAGCGTATAATACTCGCTACTCGCAGCTATATTTGTCTCAAATTACAGCACATAATCTAAGACGATCTATCGAGTCAACCCCTATGAGCAATGCGAGTCAAGAGAATAGTCAGACAGCGAGCGAGGAAACGGCGACTGTCGTACCACGACGATGCCTCGAAGTCGTTGAGCGCCACAACCGCGGGACGCTCTCATACGGTCGCGCGGTCTTACAACTCAGTCAAATCCTCGGAGACGTCAGTGGCGGGATGCCCCCCGACGAAGCCGAAGGCGTTGTTGCTAGCTACGTTGAGAAGCTCAAGCGTGGCGGCAATGCAAATCGAGAGGCGTCCGCAAGACCTGAAGAAGGTGCCGAGGTCGACGAGACTGACGACGCGGTCGACGCTGTCGGGAAGCCTGCTGCATCGAATAAGCTGTGAGAACGACGCCGGAAAGACCGCCGGCAGCCAACGTCCTCGATGGACAGGGATCAATGGTGGATAAGGTTACAAACCGATGGGGCTACCTACGGCGTGCGACGCCTACATAAGTCCTATTCCCACACCGGCGCACGACCACGTGACCCGGGCCGGCAGCGACGCTTGCCCGACATACCCAAAAGTCAACATAAGCGACGTCGGACCGGAGATGACTCCAGTGATGAAGACGAGTACTGGCAACGAAGACGGGCGGACCCTTCGAAATACGCTTGGACTGCAGAAGGATTCCTCGACGAACATTTCGTCATGCACCCAGACGCCAGACGGACAATTGAGCTCATCCGCGAATACACCAAAGATCTCCGCCATGCAAGGGAATCCCTCGCGACTGCTGTTCGAGCACCTGAGTTCCCCAAGTCCAAATGGACTTGTATCCTCGGTGGGGAACCCGTCGACCTTGATGAAGTCATTTGTGCGGAATATGCCCCTACCACAGGTGCTAAGCAAGTCGCAAAGCTGGGCACCCTTGAGATCACAATGCCGGACAACACACCAGTCAGAAGGATTCTTAATGCCAGCGACTGGTTGCTCACCTGGCAAAAGGCAGCAGATGCCATTGTCTTTGCTTTCCCCCACCAACGAGGTGAACTCACAGCATACGCTCAACACATTTTGCGCACCTTCAAGGCCATTGCTGTCGCGACTTAGGGTCAAGTGACTGGGGAAACACAAACAAAGGGCGCTGGGGGCGTTCGACTGGGTCTTACCGAAGCGATGGTGAGCTTACGCTCAAACCTAGGGACAAGTTAAGTTAGCATAGGAAAGTAAGTATGTACAGGGGCTTACTGACCTAGGGACAAGAGGTCGGAACTAAGGTCCCTAGGGCAGCAGAGGCAGGCTTATATACAGGGGAAGTTTAGGGGAGGCTGTGCGCACTGGTCCGTGCACAGCTGGTCCGTGCGCAGCATACTGACGCGGCCCCGGGGGCCGATGAGTCAGAGCGGCTGTGTCAGCGGAGCCCGAGCTGTGCCGCGCACTGCCGCCCCATCTAATCTAATCATACAGTAGATAGCGATGTGTCCATATCAGGCATGTAGTACAGAGGTCGCGGGTTCGAGCCCGTGAAAAGGAAAAAATTAGAAAACGGCTAGACGCCATGCCAACTCGTGACAGATAGCGTACATACATCGCCACCACTAAGGGAACGAACCTTTCAGCACCTGCACTTCAGTGGGCGGTGCTTGTCCTAACGGACGCGTGGACTAGGTTCCTGCTGCATACTAGCCAAAAGCAGTACTGGGCCCCACGTGAATCGCAAACCCTAGTGTTACTTCGGGCACCGTAGGTGTAAGCTAGTATAACACGGCCTTTGTAGTATGCGCACCTCCCTGTCCTCCCCCCATCCTGATACAACGGTCTACACTCCTATATTGGTGCCTGACTCGTAGACGACGAGCGAGGACTTATGGACAGTGCGTCGTCCTGAAGATCGAGCGAGGGAGTCGAGAATGACCACTACCCCAAGCGAAGAGGAGCAGAGACTTGAATGAATAACCAGGTCGAACTTAGGGTTCGACCGACTAATGGTACAACTACTTATACAAGTACCGACTGCGCACGGACCATCGTGTCTATGTGGTCGTGTTAGTGAAGAAAGAAACGTAGTGGTACGATACCAGGCACGAAGTGCGCACGGACCCCATTATGTAAGCTACATAATGTTCAACCTGCGGGTGAGCGCTAAGACAGGCGCCAGTATGGGCGCTAGTAGTACAAGGAATAGAACGGAAAGACAAATGTTTCATTACCCCCCTACCAGAGTCGAAGTCCCATTCGACTACTTACTGCTCACCATCTCCATACAACTCCCAATCTACGCCGTCGTCCTCC